TGCAATCAAAAGTGTCACAATTCAGGCAGTTTCAGTACTTTGTGGCAACAGTGTACTCAGATGAGATCAGTTTGGATGGTCTGTGAGATTTCTGTTTCTGTGAAAATCCCTGTTCTGCATTAAGGATTCTTGAGAAATTGTTTGCTGGGATATGATGACTGGGTTCATTGCAGTACATATGTATAGCACACATGCACAGCAACTTTAATAACCCAGTAGTACGCATGCCACAGGGAAATATGATCTGTTTGTCATACTGTGGGTAATAGCTTGAATCTCTTAGCAGGTATGCATGGTGGTCTGAGAAGCATTTTCAACTTCATCCCAATAGACCGGGTACTTAATGCAGAAATGTTCTTCTTTTCAAAGATGGCAAAACCTATAGAAGATGGTATCCCATCACAGTGTATCTTTGCTTTGCAAAAACATGTGATGTCATCTGCTGATACTGGCATTGAGACAAAATACACAAATGCGTGCCACTTTGAACTGGTTTTTGACTTCAGGCTGATATACACGGACCTCTTTCTGCATTTCAGACTGCCCCGAGCACAGATGCACAACAATCTCTTAATCCTGTGACGTCAGGTTTCGTTACTGTAACTGATCTGTTGTCATGATGGCTTTCTTCAGCTAGAGGTTGCCCCAGGAAACCATCCCATTTGCGCGGTTTTCCAGGGGTTTGAAGCTCTGACCATTTTCGCGATCCATGTTATTCACTATTCAATTCCCGCTTTTCTATAGTGAGCCGAGTTGCCCCTTTGATGACACTTTGTCATTTTTCCCCACAAGCATCCTTGCAACTCCACTTCTGTCTCACCCACATTTTCCTTTGCTGACCTGGACAGTCTTGTGTGCACTTGTTGCAGCCTCATAACTGCCCCAAAGCTCATTTCTTAAGTCTTGTTATTTGGTTTGTAATTGCTTAACAGCTGCATTATTCACTGGGAAAGGGAACAACAGTCAGTTCACTGTGATTAATGCAAACCCAGGCAAGCAGCCTAAAATCAAAAAAGTATTAAGGAGAGTTGCCTACTGTTTGTGGCCAGTATGGGGGAAAAAAAGCTGCTACAGAAACTCCAGAAGTCTTATCTGCTGAAGGATGAAACACAAGTGAAATGTGACACAGGGACTGTACAGAAAGCAGATAAGACTGACACCATTAATGCAGCAATGTTATACTGATACCCAGAACTGCTGATAAAACATTTTGCTATTTGAGGTTATTTTTTATTTTTCACTCTCCCGAATAATTGGTAAATTCTTCAATTTATGAGAAATAAGAAAATGTTGATTTCCTGTCTTTTTGTTTACAACCTGATAGGATGCAGTACATATATCACTTTTTTGGTCAGCTCAGGACTAAACTGATGAAATTACTGTATGGGGATGCTCTGGCTGCACATTTTAAAACATTTAAAAAATCATTTTCTTCTGTCATTGTTGTGTTAAAAAGATGCTACCCCAGCGCAAATTGGTACCATATAAACTTTAATGTTTGAAACAACATTGAGTCTGTCTTGCTTTGATTTATATAGCAAAGAATAATCTGGATTTGTAAATTTCTAGCTCATTTCCAACAAACCTGAATCAAGTGAGAATCATGTTCAGATTACTACTTTATGTGAATCCTGTTAATGGTTTGACCAATGGTATGAAGAAAGTATTTGGAAACTAAATAGTGAATGAGGTTTGTGTTGATTCAGTCAGTTTTGACAACATGCTTTATCCAGGTTGAAAGTGTAGGATTGAGAAACTTCACCAGGCAATGACTCCTGCATGTTTTACTTAAAACTAATAGCATTTAAAGCATCTTGAGCAAGTATAAGTACAGATTATCGCAGAACTGTCTGTGGCAGTATCTGATTTTGGGTTGGTTTCATCTTTTGTTTCACAAGGTTAAATATTAGCCCCCCTGCTAGTTAGTTTTACGTGGTTCATCTTGATCAAATACTAAGTACGTTGCCTGAATAACTATGTCTATGATACACAACTCTATGTATGTGTATATAACTGATAACTAAAGATGACAACAAGTTTTGGTACTTTCTGGTAGTATTTTGACACAAAAGATAGTATGACACAGAATTTGTGCATACAAATTTTGATATTACTTTATGTTTTTAGTTTACCCTGTACTGTAACAACCCCAGACATCTTTTCTCCATCATCAACAGACTGCTCAAGCCAAACTGCCCCACCACATTGCCTGCCTCAACTTTACAACACATTCTTAGATTTCTTAAGTTCTAAGATTGACAACATCTGGCATCACAGTCTCTCCACCATGCATATCATTTTCATACCTCTTCCCTCCTCATCCAACTTCTCTGGTTCCCTTCTCTCCAGCTTCTCTCTTCTTGACTCAGCATCCCTCAATAAACTAGTTACACGCATGAAACCCACCACATCTATTTTTGATCCCATTCCCACCACTTTATTTCAGTCCTGTTTCTCTTCTCTCTGTCCCATTGTCCTCAATATAATACATGAATCCATGAGCACTGGCATTGTACCAACGGTCCTCAAAACTGCTGCCATTACTCCCATGCCAAAAAAGCCTAACATGGCTCTCGACAATCTTAACAATTTTCACCCCATCTCCAACTTACCCTTTCTTGCAAAAATTCTAGAACATGCTGTCACACTTCAGTTACATAACCACCTCATGACAAACAAACTTTTCGAACCCCTCTGTTG